TTGACCTTGATCTAACAACCCTGAAACTCAAGCTCGTCCAAGATATTGTGTTTCTTTGTAATTGTGTTGAGTTTGATCAAAATCTCTTGAAGAATGAAGCCACTGGGGATTAACAAAAATTTAAAAAATAGTAACAGTGACCTTGACCCAACAACCCTGAAACTCAAACTTGTCCAAGATATTATGGTCCTTTGTAATTGTATGAAGTTTGATCAAAATCCCTCAAGGAATGAAGCCGCTAGAGGGCCGACAAGGTTTTTCTAAAAATATTATCAGTGACCTTGACCTAACAACCCTGAAACTCAAACTTGTTTGAGATATTATTGTCCTTTGTAATTGTATGAAGTTTGATTAAAATCCCTCAAGGAATGAAGCTGTTAGAGCGCTGACAACGATTTTCTAAAAATAGTAACGATAACCGTTCTTGAAGTCATCAGAACAGGTCCCTAGGTTACAGGTTTACAGACTATGATACATGTACATACAACTATATATTATATATATAGGCTTGACAATACTTTGCAGACAGAGTCATGTTGATGGCTTTTATCAAAGCGTCCCATTGGGGGCAGAACTTTTGACTTCTGTACCATTTACCATCATAGGTATCAATAGTGGTCTCATGTTTGTTACATGTATACATTTCCACTCGAGACCTACACTAAAATTCTTATTATTATGCTTTGGAATCAACAACAGTTGGAAGTTTTCTGTGAATGTTGTTTTTCAGAACAAAATGTAAAGGAGGATAAAGGTCTTCATCACACGCTGCATTTCAAAGGAAAATTTATATTGTCAAAGATGGATCAGCAATTGCATATAATTGATATTTATAAACATGAAATCAGACCTCGTGCACATGTTGATCACTCAATTTTAATGATTATTTTTCAAACAACTTATTATTTCCAAGGATTTTGATAATATTAACACACTTCAGCTTATTGAGAGCGACTGATGTCAGATTCAGATCTAAAATATTGAGCTCATTTTCAAAAATAGCACAAGAGGTTTCAGCCAAATAATTAAAAAGATATTCTGCTTTTAGTACATTATCAGTATAATCAATGAACACATATATAGGGTTCCTGTATTTTATAATAAACAAAAGCAAAAAAACAAAATTGCTTATTCTGTATTTTACAAAACAAAACATCTATAGGTATGATCATTGAATCTATATACTTTTGAAACAAAGCAGAACAGAAGTCTTGTTCTATCAAATAATGTTTCTCAAGGGAAGCTGTCACTATCCAAAAAAGGTTGGGTCTTCTTTCAATAAATCTCTAAACTATCATATAAATTTGAAGTTTTAACTTCAATTTGAATATTTTAATGCGCTAATATCATTATGTATGCTCATTAAACCAACACACACTCCAAGGAAGATAACTCCAATTTAGTTCACTGATTGGTCAAAATCACGACATAAAAACCAATGAAACTGTTGGTAACAGGGTACTTCATTGAACTAGTTATCACCTAGTCATTGAAGGATTGCTACGTACACCACATTTAAGTCAAGCCTAAAGCATGCAGTATAAGAGAATTGTCCTTTTGTGCTTGATACAGTTATACCAACCAATTCTTTGTTGAGGCAACATTTTTTTTGAATTTGCAGCACATGTACATCTATCACCTAATTCTGAAAGACAAGCATCTTTTTTCTGTTTCCTTCTCATTAATATCCAATGAAACATGTTACAATACTTCACAGTTATTCACCCTAGTAGTGGTGTACCGATAATCGTAAACATCGCTTAAATCGAGTTTGAAATGGGTCTGATCCAATAATCAATTTTGCTGATGAAAGATTGATTATGTTCAATTGTATTGAAGAATTAAAATTACAAAACATACGATAAGCACCTTGTAACCTCAACCTTATTATCGGCGATTTACCCACATTTTCAAAGTTCGGATTTTGATTACATTTAGTTTAATACATAAATTTAAATGCTGACAGATTAAAAAAAATACCTCTTTTTACAAATCTATGATAAATTCTGCATTATGTTGACAAAAATGGAATAAAATTGATCTTTCCTTTTCTAACTTGAAGCAGACGCAACACCTGCACCGACATTATAAATTGTTAATGTAAAAATAGAATTGTTTTTGGTAAATAAGCAGAATTGCTTAATACATACATCCACATTTTGGATCAACCGAAACCGCCATATTTGAAAGCTAGTAAAATGAAGCTAGCAGGAGTGTTTTTCGTGATAAATTATTATTAATATGCTATGTTATAGTGATTGGAGCATTCAAATGGGGGTAATTAGTACCTTAACTGTGAGTACACCTAGTTGTCATCAAGTTTTGAGTCAAAACAGAGATAAAATTGAATCCTTCCTTCCACCTCCTTCAAAATGGTTTCTAAAATCAAAGCATAAAAAAGATTCATGCAGTTATGTACCAAAATTACATTCTTTACGACTGAATTAGGTGCAGAATCTAGACTAGCAGCTGATGACAACTACAGGGTTCCCATTCACACAGAAATGTGCACGATTCGCGCACATTTTAAATAAAGAGCCTAATGATTTTGACTGCCTTATGTGTCATGCACGTGCAGAATTTTGTGTGTTTGGCATTCCAAAAAATTCCACCTCAACGAAATGTGATTTCAAAAGGCAAGAAACTAGTCGAAGTCAAAAAAAGGGAAGTTGTTGGGTTTTCCCTTTTTCTCGGCAGGTAGTCTTGCTTATGAAACGTTTAATATGTTAATCGTAATGGCCCACTCGTCTGGATGGTAAAGCGCTTCGACGACCAAGAAGAATACACACAACCAAAATCAATGAGGAACAGTCAACACTTTTCAAAACACTCGTTTACGGGAAGTGCCGACGGTTCCCGAATGCCACACCCCAAGTTTTTTTTAAGTCTGCCCAAACTTCAAAGCTAACAGAATTTTACTTTTTCCGTATCACAACTTCGGTTTGGATGCTGTAAAAGATGTCCTTACTAGACTCATCCCCGCATATATAACAAAATGGTGGATTATTAATGTATATTTCAGATAAGTTGTAACTGCTGCAAGAATTAAACAGGTAACATTGAACCAATGTTGTTGTTTCATGTCGTTATTCATATACATACACATTTTCACTTTCACAGCATTATGACTAACTGGCAGCTAGTCCGAGAGATAGACATTTACCCAGCAACGAATGATACGATTCATTGTATTCAAAACAGTGCTGTAGTGATGGTCCCCGATTGGGATTGATGATAGTTTAGGTTTTTTCAAAATATTAGTAGGTTTATCGTGACTTATAAAGAATTTTTCAATTTAGCGAGCCTCTATTGAGCTAAAACGAAAAATTTGTGACAAGTTTCATAATTTTCATATGAAATGAAAACGATTGCCAGATCCTTTTTATCACATTATCAAGATTTGTGGCATTTATTTGTGTAAAACGACAATTTTCATGACTCTAATGTGCAAGTCTATGCCATATTTTGTCCTTGGCGTGACATTATGGTTGTTACAATTGAAACTTACAACCAATCAGAGGCCTGATAGGTCATATTACATGGGTTAATTAATATGCAAACATATATAGCATGGGTACAGTCACTGGATGATTGGATTACACGACTGTTGTGTGCTATTAAACAGATACACAGAAGAAGCACATGTTGTTTTCTTGTGTACATGACAACGGTACGGAAAGAGTTAGGCAAATAATCTTGTAGAAACTGATTATTGAAAATTGACCAATCAGAGCACAGTACTCTGCTAATTATTTATGGATGGATTTCGCTCAGATTTGAACTAAGCCTCAGTCTCTGTATAATGTACATGCATACCAAGTTTCATATTCAAACATGTTATCTTGCAGAAACCAAAAAGGTGTGGACAGGTGAATGCACACTTCCGATACCATAACACTTTCCGTGAAAATTTTTGACAGGCACATAAAAAAAATCAAAAACTTTCGGTCAGATATATATATGTTACAGTGGCTTGTGAGTAGGCGGTTCAACTTTGCAAATTTCTGCAGTCTAAAAGATAGGCTTCTAGCCATATAACTGGGTATTATTATAAGTGGTGGAAATTTGGTTAAAATTCATAAGATTATTGGTCCTAAATGTTATTTTATATCAGTTTGATAAGACTTCAACAATAAATGCTTCTGAGATTGACACAATTCTTCCTGTGACAATATATCAGTCAACTTTAAGCTTTTATGCCAGTTTAAATCAAAGAACTTCTGAATGCAAGTTGATAAAATTCACACCCTAAGATTTTTAGAGGGTAAAAATAGAAACACATTGTTTTTGCTAAGGAGTAAGGTGTTCAAGATTATCAGCCAACATTGACTTGGTGGAATTAAGAATGGATAATTAATTTAATGCACTTTAGTAAATATATAATAAAGAGTGTTACTGACTATGCTTGGCAAAAATAACATTTCAAATCCAATTTTTAACTGATTATCATTTTGTTAGTAAATAAATACTATCAAGATCTAATCAGAATGGACCAGACATTAATCAATTAATGGAGTTCTTCAACTATATTATAAAACCAAAGAAGACTGAACAAAGACTACTTCAGGAAAAATTCAGAGATTCCTATATTCATTTATTTTGTAAATTTGAAAACCAGGTCAACCTTTCATTAGATGGGCTGTTTGCATTTTAATTAGTTATACTCTTATGAGTAGCACAACATGAATGACAATAGTCATTTAAATATAACAACAAATATAACGAGCAAGTGACAAAATAAACAATGGATGAGAGAAAATATAACAGAAATGAAAATCTGCTATTTATGATGAAAACAACAGCCCCTCCCCTTCCAAGCAATGGAAGCCATCTTTGATAAAAAGCGAAACAGTAAACGCCATTAAAAGTGACCCAGTCAAATATAATTCTATCGAGAATATTATCATGCAGATAGTACAACAACAAGAGACGCGCGTGGCTGCAATTGATATATAAACGACTCAGAACGGAGGTAAATTCAAACACACTGGTGAGTTTACCTTTCGCCATCCACCGAAGCCGATCACTCGTCGGTAGAGCAAATACAGGTCGACTTCTTTTCCACCTATTCGAGGGATTCTTGTTATTGGGGTTCTGCAAAAGATGACAAATGACACATCATATTAATCACTTAACAAAAAAGTATAAAAATAATACGATAAATGTTGAAATCATACGAAATTACGTACCCTCTATTGCAATGAAATTGTTTGAGTTCCTTCAGAAAGTCATTTTGTTCTTGCTGGTAAGTGAACGGGTCTTTGTTCAAAATCCCAGCCATAATATCAGCAAACGCGAACTAAACAGAAACTAAATAAACCCCATGCGCTCAAAACAAACGATAACAATCGTTCTGTGACCACAGCGTACACGGAAACACAGCACAAGGGTGGTCAGACGAACGGAAAATCCTCGATAATTCGGGGATTCCACATCCGAGTCGGCTGCAATGACACTGCTAACACAACATTAAAATTCACACAGAACAGTCCTTAGAACGAAGATCGGGGTCATGTAATGACTCCCGATGATAGTTAAGGAGTATTACTCCCTTATAAGCTGTCCGTAGCTCAACCTTGAGGCTTCATAGTTGACCATACGTGCATAAAATCTTGGAAAATCGTAACAAAAAACATAATGATCATGCCTAACCAACATTGCTCTCTAGAGGGGTCTGCATAATGAAGCATTGCCTCGGTATAGTTATTCAAGATGGCGGACAACCTGGCACACAACGAGGGCACGCGGATGACGTGGTTTGAGGTGAAATTAGCGAAACGTTTCCACCATATATGTGGAAACTGCAAACGCTAATTAACTCCTCAATAAAAAAATATAGTATTCCTGTGTATATGAGTTATGTATGCAGTTATTTGCCGTCGTTTATTTACATTTCTTTTGATCTTGCCGCATCGCCATTGTTGTCCTTCAACTCGCACAATAGGAAAAATAGTACTATCTAAATTAAGCCATATTGCAGGAACGAAAGCATAGCGCCTTCAAAAAGTGATGCAGCATGTTTAACCTAAGTAATAGAGAGATTTTTTTCTATGACTGTAGCGTGCAATATACGTCGAAAGGATGTTTGCCGGTCTTCTTTGTTCACTCTGTAGCCAGGAACGACAACTCCTGGCCAATTTACCTGTGCGATCACCTGCGACACATGGCACAGGTGCGAGGGGATACTTCATTGAGGAAGAAAACAAAGGAAATCGTACACATGGCCTCAAATCGATTATTGATCGATTGTTTGATATCATATTGTTATTACTGAGTTATTGATTATATGACGAGCAAAATTGTACGACTGCCCACAAGGATACGAACAGACAGTTGCAAGGATTTGAAAGTGGTATTTCCATAAAGTATCAATTGCAGTATTTATTGTTATATATATATATTTATGTTATGATATCGACAATTAAGTTGAATTATCATTGCGTCCACTTTCAAAAGTTTGAAAGCAAAGGGAATATTCTATCAAGACTGAAAGATGCAAATGTGACGTTCCGCGATGCATAATACGGCTGCTTCTTTTCATTATCACCAGTATAAGATGTTGTACGACCTATTGTTCCGACAGCATGGTCAGGGTAAAACACTTTAGAATTTAATTTTGTATTTAGTGTTGTTAATTAAATTACTTCGAGCTACGTGTGATGGATCTCTAGTGACAAATGCTTCATAAAATATAAATTTATATATCTGCTCTCTTGTGCAACATTTAAGTAGAGTTATCTTTTAAAAGTATAACATATAGGACAAGGAAATTAGCAATATGTACCAATGAATGCATTACTAATTGATAATGTCACTTACCAATATAGCATAAGTCTACACAGAATTCCTCCATATACTTAGGTATTGAAACAATTGCGCCAATACCATCCAAATCGCAAGGAGGCGGTACAGTAAGTAGAAGACATCAACGTAGCGTAGCGTAGCTTATATTGCTAGCGTTCACCAGGAATTAAATCCTCCTAGGTGCCCGATACTAACGCATTGTAGTTGGACTCCTTATAAACACAGCACATAAACATTAAACAAATAGTAAACGTGTATTATCCGAACATATATCACATATTACAGCATCCAGTCGTCCAGGCGGCTCCACCAGCTTCCAATATCGCCAACTGTTCCTGTGTGCAATGAGTTGAATAAGCCTCTACAAAACGACGTAAAGTCCAACCATTGGACCGACAGTAAACTCCGAGGCCGCGCATTACTGCCGATACCTCAGCCAACAACACGGCGACGACAACAAACCCTACTTTCTGTTTGCCAGCACAGCATTCGATCCACGTGGTTCGATAGCGGTGTATCAACTTTTCCACGTGGTCGTATATTTTTGTATTGCACACTTGAAAACGCCCACTCTCAGTATCATGGCTTTCTGGGTTTCATTGATTCCGCCGATGGGAAAAGTCCCCGGTACGTACGCACGGAGAGTCAGTCACTCTGTGGCCACTGACGGAGCCACACTGAACAACACCTTAGGTCCCCCGTGCTAGACTAGAAGGCATTGGCTGTCCCAGCTCTCGTCTGCTAGGTTCGTATCATAAGGGCATGAAGCCTCGCTAATACGATAACTTGTAGACTTTTTTGTAAACTGTTGACATAACTTATCGTCCTGCGCCCTGCCCTCGGTTATGTCGGTATTAGTGTTGTAGTACACCTTTCCATTTCCATGCTGCCAAATTCACAGCCAATGTAGATACGGATTTCTGGGTCATCCAGACAACGATACGGATTTCTGGCAGATAAAGGGTACAAATGAAGAGCAACGCTAAAATTAGACGAGAACGTGCAAAACTCCCCTCCCAGCCCTTATAAGTTGATTTCCCCATATATCTCATAGTGCAAGGAAATGTTTCACTGTTCCCAATATTATAGACTAGCTAGCGGTAGAGGATCGTAGCAAAACGTGAAAGTTACACAAGAAACTCTTTCACTCGTTCTGATACTAATGACAAGCGTGACGAGGGATGAGGCTGCAGCGCAACGTGAAAAATTACACAAGAAAATGTATCCCTCTTATGCTTTAGTTTTCTCAATACACCAGACCAGTAAAGTGTACACCATTGACACCTCATTGTGGAAAAGGACCATTCTATAGGTAAACATTAGATATTACCAGTCACGTTACTAATTCATGGTTTTCAGAGCTTATATCAGCCGCTGGTTCATGAATGGGCATAGTGGGCGGTGTGTCGCATCCTAAAATGAGTTCAATGTGACCTCAATTTGACTTTGATCTTTACCTCAAGTATTAACTATCACAGCTACTGTTTCACGAATGGTCTCCAAACTGTATCGTTTCGCGGGGAGCGGGGGTATCCGAGAAGCCAACGTTTCGAGTTAAATCTTGCTGGTTTTGTAATCCTAACACTTACCACATACTAATTGATAACGAAACGCTACTATATTACACTGACTCGCTGATTGTCCATATAACCTAACCAGCTACTATGCGCATGCTCAATAATTGGTCATGTAACTTTACCATATTACACATACTCTCTAATGGGCCAGGTAACTCTACCAATTACACGCGCACAATAAATGGCTATGTAGCGCTACCATATCACATTGACTCCCATTTTGGTCTCGTGATCCTTTTATATTACACTGTCTCATTACTTTTTCATGATTCTACTAATTTCACAAGCTCACTAACAGGGATGTATAAAAATTCCACATGCCTACTGAAATGAAGTAACGCTACCATATTACACTGACGTATAAGTGGTCTCGTGATCCTACCATACTTCACTGACTCACTAATTGGTCTCGTGATCCTACAATACTTCACTGACTCACTAATTGGTCTCGTGATCCTACCATACTTCACTGACTCACTAATTGGTCTCGTGATCCTACCATATTACACTGATTCATTTATTGGTATCGTGATCCTACCATATGACACTAATTCACTTATTGGTCTCGTGATCCTTTTATATTACACTCAATCACTAATTGGCCCCGTGCACAATTGGTCTCGTGATCCTACCATGTTATACTGACTCACTAATTTGTCTCGTGATCCTACCATGTTATACTGACTCACTAATTTGTCTCGTGATCCTACCATGTTATACTGACTCACTAATTGGTCTCGTGATCCAACCGTATTACACTGACTCACTAATTTGTCTCGTGATCCTACCATGTTATACTGACTCACTAATTTGTCTCGTGATCCTACCATGTTATACTGACTCACCAATTGGTCTCACTAATTGGTCTCGTTATCCTACCATGTTATACTGACTCACTAATTGGTCTCGTGTTCCTACCATGTTATACTGACTCACAAATTGGTCTCGTGATCCTACCATTTATACTGACTCACTAATTGGTCTCGTGATCGAACCGTATTACACTGACTCACAACTTTGTCCAACATACCAAAAGAAAGTCAAAATCATAGTCTACCTGAAAATTACAGACCAATTACAATACTAAGCTGTACGGGCAAATTATTCACCACTGTTTTGAAGCTAACGATATTCTATCTGAAACCGTAGTGGCGGACCCAGGGGTGTTGCCCTAGTTGCCCGGGCAACCCCCTTTTTCTGTGTCCAAAAATAATCTGGACTTAAGTTTTTGAAGATTTTCCTCTTTTTCAGATGGGATTTTCTTCTAATATCAACCATCCTGTGAAGTATGATTTTTCTATGGCAAGCAGCAGTTTGAATATCTATATATGTCTAAACAATTAATCCTATTTTGTTTATATATTAGTAGGGTCTCCAGTCAGGTCAGTGGTGAAGGCTCAATGGACTGTCTACCTAATCGTATTGTTCTAATGTCACGGTGTGGTGATCACGCTGTCCGTTGAGAGAGGATAAAACCATCTGTTGGAATTAGGTATATATGTTAATTGTTATTTCAAAGGTAGAGTCCATTTCATGATAGATAAATCTGTATTTTCACCTGTGGTTTCATGTACACATGATCACTAGAAGTGATTTATTATACCTGTTAAAAAATATAAATTTCAAAGACAATAAAGCATCCCCCATAGCATCACGTTATCAGGTGAATAATAACCAATGTTAGCATAAAAACCTGGCATGTATATATATATCCCTTTTAACAGGTGTTGCCCTTGTACATATGCATGCATACAAATTCACAATAAAAGACAAACAGTCAAATCATAATTCATATTTATAACAAATTGCATGACACAAACGTCAACATTTTAACCAAAAATCTATTTTTTTTACCATTGCGTCGCACGCATGGAATATCAGAGAAAGTGTTTTTCTCCTGCCCACACAANAGCCTGGCATATATATATATATCCCTTTTAACAGGTGTTGCCCTTGTACATATGCATGCATACAAATTCACAATAAAAGACAAACAGTCAAATCATAATTCATATTTATAACAAATTGCATGACACAAACGTCAACATTTTAACCAAAAACCTATTTTTTTACCATTGCGTCGCACGCATGGAATATCAGAGAAAGTGTTTTTCTCCTGCCCACACAACTCCAACAACCCAGGTGGAGTATAAAATGGTCTGGGGTGGATGTTGCGGTATCTGTGATGTAGCATTCAAGTAAGGTGGCATTATAAAAAAGATGCCGTTGGTAGCACGGTCCCACTACAAACAGAACACAATACATCTCCAGCACACATGCATGCATACACACATAGGGAGAGATTAGCAAGGTGGC